TGCTGTTGTTACTATTCTTAAATGATTTGAATGGCTTTAAAACTGTATGGAGTATTTGTTTTAAGGCGATTATTTAACAGTATTGTAACACTGCTATGTATTGTGGTTTTTAGTTTTAAAATATATTTAAATATATACACATTTCAAAATGTCATTTTCACTGAACCTACGTTTTAAAGCATGTTTTAAAATATTAGTTTCATTGTTTCATGGAATAAATTGTATTGGAAATGAATAAAGAAATGTACATCCGTGCAAAAAGAAATGTACTATAGCTGCCTTGGTTTTCCACTGCAAGTCACTGAGAAGGCTAAAAAATATTGAATTGGGAGGGATCTGGATCAGCACAGGCCACCTCAGGATTCATCCCAAAGTGCCAAATTGGGCTATAAGCTGAGTCAAGGAACCCATGCGCAGCCCTAGCGTTAGCCAGGCTGAGTCCAGCAGTGCTTCCAAAATTAGTGAGAGGGATGCGTTGGGGTTGGTATGGCAATTGTCTTCCTTTTTTGTTCTGCCTGCCCTTTGTAGCAATGTAGGTGATTTTTAAATACCCCTTTTCCTTTCATCATGTGCAGGGTGGCAGAGCTGAGTGATAATGTGAGGATGTGGCCAAGTGAAAGGTTGAGTAGTGCATTCCTATTCTCCCCTCCAGAGATTCTAATCCTAGTGGCAAACTTTATTAGAAAGTTGTTGCTTGTGTTAGCTTCCTGATATGTGGCAGCACTGATCAGTCTCCTTCCTTGATTTTTAATAGTAACCCACAGGTACAAAAAACCTCTGATCAGATGGTTCCTGTACTGTTGTAAGAAAATTTGTAGATGCCTTTTGAAATTCTTTCCTTAATTAGAGACACATTATGATAGCCCAATTAAAGAGTTTTGAAGTCAAATTAGCTATTTTGTTTTTAACTGATTAATTAATTAATGAGCTGCTAAGAATAAATGTTATAGTATTACAACGCAGATGATCTTTGGAGGACATTTCAAAGTAAATTAGGTTTGCCTTGATTGATTAATACTGACAAATCTCTTACCATCTGGGAAACTTTCAAATCAAGGACAGCAGGTATATACTCAGCCTTGCATAAGAGACAGCTCCAATGAAAAACGGATCTTTAACATCTACACAGTGAGTGAATCTGGCACTTTATTTATTTATTTATTTATTTATTTATTTATTTATTTATTTATTTATTTATTTATTTATTTATTTATTTACCATGCCATCTAGTGCTCATGCCACTATTTACTGAATTACTGTAACATATGATGAATGTGGCAATACCTGTGGAAAGTGTTTGGAGACTGTAGCAGGTTCAAGACATTGTCACCAGACTGTGGATGGGAAGCCGTTGTATGGTAAGAAATGGAAATAACTTCCTGCCATTGTTTCACTGGCCGCCAGTCCATTTCCAGGCACAATGCACAGCACTTGCCGTGGTCTGTGAAGTCCTATCCGGATTGTGTCCAGCCTATCTGAAGCACTGTATCTTTTAATATGAACCTGTCTGTGTTTTAAGATCTTGTTTTTCCCCTCTTAATCCTGCCAGTCTCACAGGCATATCTGGTGAGGAAATAAGGGAAAGCTTTTTTGGTGGCTGCTCCAAAACCGGGAAACTCCCTTTGACAGAAAGGTTCTCACCTTCCTTCTGCAAAGACCTTTTCTTTTCGGCAGGTCCTTGGCCAGTGACTCAAAGGGCCTTTCAAGAGTGGTGGTGGTTGTATGAATGTTTTCTCTCCCCCCCTCCCCCGTGATGCTTTTAAATGGTGTATTTCAGTGCTTGTTTTTAATACAGTAACTTTTCTAAATTGCATTTTAATATTAATGTCTTTCTCACAGTATCCACTTTAATTCATGTTGTGAACCGCCAGGGTTCTGTAGAGGGAGAAAAGCCGGTTAGTAAGTTAAATAAATAAACAAACAAATGAACAAAGAAAGCCTACCACCAGATTAAGGATAATTTTCACTGCAGATTGCACAATGGTAGGATACCGCCATCTTTAGAGACAGTGGCCTGGCTTCCCTTCCAAGAAGTGGCCCAGCTTTCTCTGAACATGCACACACCTTCTGGGAAGCTGGGCCTCTCTCTCTCTAAAGATGGCAGCAGAGGACAAAGAGGAGGAGGCAGGACCAGGTAGGGAAGTGACAGGGGCCATGGAAAGTGGCGGGCAGGTGGCATAGGAGGTGGGAGCATTAGGTTCCCCTCATCCAGGTATGAACTGGAAAAGAACTGAATCACAAGCCGGTTTGTTTTTTTCCAAGGTTTGTGGGTGGTTTGTGGTTCAAGGGCAGCCATCACCCACGAATCACTCTAATTCATCATTTTTCTGGTTCATGCCCATCTCTAGACAAGACTCTGCCACTCTCCCATGGCAGAGGATGCAGAAGACGGGATTGGTGGCAATTGGGAATGGTGACTGGCTCATATACCAAGCTACTCTTTACAGTCCATGTGCAAAGCCTGAAACAGAAGCATGAGGTTGTGTGGTGGAGACTGGATAAGGGATAGCACATATTTTTCCTTCTTTTAGGACATTTCAAGAATCTGTGGGATTTTTGGCCTGTACATTTGTCCACAGCAGCCCACATCAGTGAGGTAAATGGATTTGATTCTGGATTAGTCTGAAATTCACCAGTGTGATAGGTGTGGAGATTAAAAGGGAATCTTTATGCTGCAGGTAAGTAGAACTGTTCCACACAGCATGGACCCCATAAGAGTTCACACAAAACAAAGACTTGACAGAAAGACAGAGAAAGGAAAATATTTGTAATCCAAGGGCCTAATATGAGTCAATAGGACAATACAATGCATTCGTAGTTCAAAGGCACTTCTATTTTCCAAGAAGTGTGAGCAGTGTTTTTGAAGAAACTATCTTTCTCGAAAGAAAAAAGGAAGGAAAAGAAATGACTCCCCGGAATTTTAGTCTTACAAAACTGCAAATTATCTTCTGTGTGATCATGGTAGCCGACACTGTAGACGTCCATTCTTTATGGGATCAGGCTGCCACTTGCTCATCCAGATTGTTTTGACTGTTGCACATCATGAGCGGCGAAGATTTTGGCCTTCCAGATATTTTGGACTGCAACTCCCACAGTCTTTTAACATTTACTGTCCTGAGAAGGACTTTTTGGAGATGAAGTCCAAAGCCAACTCCCACTGCCCACTCAGCTATCAATAGACAGACGGCAGAGTTCAGCCTTAATGCTGCTAGCTCCATGTGATTTGATGACCATCTTTCCTATATTTGCGGTTGCCTGTTTCTTTGATAAGGTTTGGTTGCTGTTTATTATAAGTGGATGGAGATGTGCCTTTTCACAATCCGAAGCAGTCATTAGAGCCACATAACTGGAGAAGCGAGTGGGGGAGGAAAGGAGAGGAGGCCATGAATGGTTGATGGTGTGTAGCAGATGCAGAAATTCTCCTCCTGATACGATGCTGACCAGGGGACCTTACACTTTATAAGAATGCCTTATTCATTCATTCATTCATTCATTCATTCATTCATTCATTCATTCATTCATTCATTCTCCTTGAAAACAACCCAAAGTGCCTTATATCCTTAAAAATACAATATGTAGAAGCTAAAAACAGTAAGTATACACATATTTAAGAATAATTAAGCAAGTATTAAATTAAAAACTGTAATAAAATCAGTGTTAAAATACATTTAAAACAGAGCACAACCATTCCTTTAAAACCTGCTCTCAGGCCACCAGTTATTAAGGGAAAGCCTGCCTGAAGGGAAAGGACTTTGCCTGCTTGCAGAAAGACAGCAATGATGGGGCCAGCCTAGCTTCCTGTGGGAGGGAGTTCCAGAGTTTCCAACGGTGTCTCCCCATAATAAATGCAAATATGGTTCCTCCATGCCGTAGACCAGACCTGGGCAAAGTGCAGCCCGAGGGCCACATAGGCCCGCGAGCCGCTCCTGTCTGGCCCGCCGGTTGTCACTCCAGTCCAGTGTTCAAGCACTTGTTCAAGCCCAAGACAGACCGGATTTCTCTCACTGAACAAGCTGAACATCAAAACCATTTATAGCTTTTTGCCTAAAGTTGATCAGTTGCTTACCTTTAACATACCACAAAAAACCTCTTTAGTATTTGTGAAGATTAACACATTTAAAATAAAAACAATCATAACATCACTGTTTCATTTTATTTTTAAGTAAAGTTGGTTTGGCCCCCGAACACAGTTCAGATTTTTCATGTGGCCCCCCTATAGAGATTAATTGCCCACCCCTGCCGTAGACCTTGAGTGCTCCCACATGAAAGGAAACCACCCCTGAGTAATACTCCCTCCAACAATGTTCACTGCTCAGAGCTGGGGAGCACAGCACAATATGGCAGAAGCGCAAAGCTGAAAGGGAGGATGGAGTTGATCATTGAAGGGCTTTCTCTTTCTTTATTCCCTACTTCCTTTGCATGTCACACACAACCTCTGTGATTTTGGCATTGTTCCTGTGTGCACATTCTTTCTGAAAGGGGACAGACGTGAATAAACATTTGGTGATTAAAATACTGCGCAATAACTTTCAGGTCAGAGTGGTCCCCCTCCTCAGTAAAAACCCAGAGCATGCCTCTTATGCTTGGCCCATGCATGTAGGAACAGGCTGTGCCCTTAGTTGCAGTGCGCAAGAATGTGTCCTGTCTTTCCCCTTGGCTGTGCAGCTGGAACGTCTCGAGTCATTTCTGAGAAGGAAACCCTCTGAAGCAGAAGCATAACTTAAAAAAAACCCAACAACTCAGAATGCATAGTGCAAAGTCTCCAGCAGCCTTGCGTGGCTCTCATGCAGAGCAACTGAGAGCTGACAATGACATCCATCCTGCACAAGGCAGGTATCTCCTAGGCATTCTGGCAGCAGGCCCGGGGCTATTCTCCTTGGCTCTGTTCCAGAACAGTGGAATTGTGACATAGCTAAAATCGCATCCCTGACAAGGCCTCTTTCAAGAGGGAGGCATGACATTCAGACAAGAAGGTGTGAGGTTGAGGGTCAAGATGGACATTAAGAGAATGGCAGAGTTCCTGTGATTACTGTGTTTGCCTCAAGTGAAGAGATTTCCTCAGAGATAACACGCCTCAGGCTCACAAAGTAAGCTCATATTTACCTTTGAACAATCAGAAAACAAACATGACTATATCATGGTGAAGACAAACACATGCTGTGATGAACAAAATGTTTAACTGTTTGAGAGAGCACTATTTCAAAATATGCACTAAATATTTTTTTTCTAATAATAGAAAGGTCTAGAAGGGAGGTTACCAGATTGCTATAAAGAAGAAAACCAGTCCAGTCTCACCAGTTTCAAACCAGCATCCTGCAGGTCAGGTCCTACAAGGCAGGAACTTGGGCCTCCAAAATGTATGGGTTCCATTTATAAGTTAAAAACCTGGCCTTGGTTCCCTGTCTCAGTTGTGGTTCTGTGGGAAGCATCGCCCTCGTTCTGTGACACCAGAGGAGGTGGGGAAGGGAAATGATAGAGAAAGAGGGAGGCAAGTGGAACCATCACATTACCATCCTATAGCTTCTTAATATTTAAAGTAAAATGTGATGTCTCCAGATTGTGCCCTGACAAACCCCATTATCAGATGAGCCGCCCAGAAAAATAATGACTGAAGCTCCCAGAAATGTAATAGAGACAGATTTTACAGAAGGGAGCTGAAAATAGAAATGTGTACCATTTATATTTTAAACAATTAAAGCAGCAACAAATTTGATTTATATAGCACCCCATATGTTCTGCATGCATAATATCCGAGTCATTTTGGAGGAAAATAAGGTAAGGCATCTTCTCAACTGCTCCCCCTTTCACTTTGCAATTCAGCATAAAACATTTTCAGCTTTTAGCAAGGCACTGTTCTTTTCCAAATGTTAACAGCTGGGCAACCATATAGGTTGTTGCCGGTTTTCCTTGTTTTCTTTCTTTGGCTGTTTTATATAATGCTGATAGCAAGAAAGAGTCTAGTTCCTGAAAAGATGGGTGAAAAGACCTTCCTGTGTATTCTGAAAGGATTGCTAATAACTGGAGTACAAAGTGACCAGTTACAAATGGAAAACGATGCTTATCCACTTTTCATAACTGTGAAAAATAAAAGAGTTTCAGTACATTCAATTTCTCCCTGAAACAGTACAGAAAACCTCCTGAATTTCCTCCCTCTGGGTGACTACGGAAAGCACAGGAGCCTTCACATCACATTATTTGCATCTGGTCATTCTACATTTCCTGGTGTTCAGAGAATAAGCAGTTGGTTTAGTCCCCACCTAGTCCAGTACAAAACAATTTGAAGAATGCTCCATGAACCCACTTGACCTGTATTCTCCGATGCAATACATTCATGGCACATAGTTACATAGCAAATCTCAACTTTCTCTGAATGTTTAAAATTTATGCAGGTTAAAAAGAATAAATACACATTAATATAGAGACCTTCCAACTGATATCCAACTGTGTCTGTCTACCAGTAGAACAGACACTACTGGCAGCATGGAGTCTCCCTCTTTCTACGATCTGCCTCTGCCATCTCTTCCAAACATGAAGAATAACCCAGAGCAGAGGACCGGTGTGTGTGTGTGTGTGTGTGTGTGTGCGTGTGTGTGTGTGCGTGCGTGTGTGCGTGTGTGCGTGTGTGCGTGTGCGCACATGCGCGTGCGCGTGCGTGCATTAAAAGCTTTATGGATGGACATTGGATGTCATCTTGTGAGTGAACACATGCAAAAGTACATGGACCTCAGATGCCTTTAGGTACTCAAAGCATAATATAAAAGTGGCACCTTTTATGTATTTGCCTTAAGCATTTTGCATAATACAGACTGAGTTTCTCTTGTCCTCAAAGAGCCATACTTGGTTGGTATCCCCAATGCTGGCAATGGGCTGCAGGGGTTCAGGATTTCCTTCAGAGTTGGAGGACCAAACTAGATGAGACACTCAGCTTTCATTGAGAAGCAAGGCTCCCTTGAGTGGCAAAGGGAGCAGTTGTTCCTGTCTCCACATCTTTCAGATTGGTTGCTTTCATGACCTGCAAGAGCAATGCATCCATTGCGAGATGGATTGCTCTGAGGAAATCTGATTGCTGAAAGACAAAAAAATGCTCTTTGATTCTAAATATGAATTGAACAACTAATCTTGTTGAGTAGTTTTGGAGGGGATTATTTTTGTTTGTGCAATTTTATTTTATTTTATGTTATTGCCATGTTAGCATGGCAGTTTATAGTGTTACTAAGAAGGACAATAATCTTACAACAGCGGAGCTTCAAGGGATCCTACAGATCTTCAAGCCCAGCCCCTCTCAAGGGGCCACAGTAGGGAACTCCATTCCCAGCCTCTGGCTCCGGAACCAGATCCCTAAACCACTGAGCTATCCACGTCTGTTCTAGGATTTCTTTGTTCTAAAGTGGCAAAGATTTGGTCCTAATGCTCCTGGACTTGAATCAGATGAAAATTCATATTTATTGAATGCAGCTTCGGTCAAAATTCAACCCCTCAATG